CAATCTTCAGACCTTCTCTTCTTTCAGTATCAAAAGGAGAGAGAAGAAATTCACAGTCAAAATTATTCAACAGCAGAAACTTACACAATTGCAAATTTTATGGAGAATTTAACTTATGCTAGAGCTGCTTGCACAGCTGCCACATGTTTATACTAATGTGGGTTCCAGTTTTCCTTCAGACCCAAGCCCCAGTCGCCCACATCCTGATATGTCAGCTGATGTTCAGATTCTACTCTTGAGAGAGCCAGCTGTCTTCCCTGGCAGGAAAATAGGGGATTGCATACAAGTCTTTTCCCTGCAGACTGCATAGTGACCAAAACCATACTGATTAAAAAGGCCTTTCCAGAGCTCCTCCAAAATCTCACTTCTTTCAGACTGAACTATATTGTCCTTGCTACCTTGACCTTATTTTTTTTGCTGCAGAAGTTCTTACGAGGTGGGCTGCACGACAGCCCTTTGATTTTCTGGGTGAGTTTTCTGTGTGCCTCTTATGTAAAGAGTGTGATTTGTATCACAGTGAAAAAATAGTTCTCATTCATATTTTGGATGTTCCCACATATGAATTCACAACATCTGGTGTGAATTCTGTGGCAGAAAAAGGAGTCAAACTCCTAGGATTTCCTGTGCCTTAGCCAGCAGGGAAGCCACATGGACTGTTTGTTTGTTTGTTTGTTTCTGTTTTGTTTATTTGTTTTTTCTTAGTTTTGTTTTTAAAATAAACTCAAGAATGTTTGTGCTTTGTCATACTCTATTTTATCTGTAATAAATTGCAAAAAATACATAACAAGGAATCTACAACTGAGACATTTCACAGGTTAGGCAGCTTTAACTAAGTTTTAGGGCAAGTCCCAACTGAAGCCTCAGTGAATAGGAATCCCAGAATCCAAAGAATGAAAAGAAAGCCCTTTCTAGCAGCTAGGTCTGAAGTACCAGCAGAAAAAAATATTCAGGAGTCTAAGGCTTTTGAATTAATTCCTTAAGAGATCCTTTAGGACCATGCTCATTTCTCCTATAGTCTACATAAATACACTACTATGTATAATCATTCTGACATTTGTGGAAGAATAGACAGGCGAATGCACTTTGAGAAGAATCAATGTTTTATGAGGGACTGACTGGTTGTAGGACCTGGCCTCTAGGACGTAAGAAACATTAAGAGACATTAAAGCATTCATATGCCCTCAGCATAAAGCATGTCTTCATCATTCTCAAGTTACCATGAGAAGCTACTTCTAGTGCAAGTGAAGGAGAATATTCTGATTTTTAAGGCTGTGCACATGCCAAATAAATTACTTTTTAGGTTTTTTCATTACTGATGAATGAAAACACTGATTCAGAACAAAACACTGATTTGTTGTTGTGTGATTTGGACCAAATTTCTTAACATCTTTTTTGCCTCAGTTAACCAAGTTGTAAAGACAGTACTCTGGCACAGTTTTTGTTTCCTATGGAACTCACCATTGCATTGCACATTATTGAGTATTATTGCACTAAAGAATATTGTTGCATTTGAATAAACATTTTAACTTATATCAAGATCCACAAGATCTTTTTATATTAAAACAATATTGAGGATGTATAATTTTATTGTTCCTGAACCATCTTATATTTGCTGAAAATACAGCGTCTGTGATATATGAAGGCTGATGTACAGCCTTCCACTGCCCTAAGCTCAAGAAATGTGTAAATGACATTTTGTGCTACATTTATTGTACTTCTTGTACTTCCAGTGTGCAAGAACCTTTGTTTTTGGTTAAGAAAAATGGAAGAGTAAAGGATCATCCTTCCCTGAATTTTTATTTCAAGATTTTGAAAAATCTTTTCCTAAATTTTAGAATCAATCTTCTACACAGCTTTTTTGAGTATCTTCTATCCAGAGATCCGATAGTAGAGTTGAGAGGATTCCAAGTATGGGGCTGAAAATTACCGTGTCCTGGTTTGTCTTTGTAGCTCTATTAGAACTGCCTAAATCGACACAGAGCAGGACTAATTTTTTTATAGAAAGTTTTGAAAGATCAACATAGTTTCTCTAAAATGGAACACCATTTATTATCTACCATTAAAGTAAATAAAAAGTTTTACTCAGAAAAACACGTTATTCTTTGTCCCCTATAGTCCAGGAGAGTTTAAAACAGAATTATCTGTTTTGAAATACTCTTTCTCTCCAATGACATTTTACTTCAATCCATTTATATCTATATATTTATATCTGTAAGAGAATTGATGCAAGCATTACACTGATGAATGTGGATGCCTCACTGTCACATGGTATGATACAGAACTCTTCTGCAGTGAATCTTCCTTTCTGGGAAATCTTGATTTGATTTGATTCAACACAATTCAAAAGAATAATTTTGAAGTTTTTTTAATAATGCTAACACTCTCTTGGGGTCAGTGCAAATAAAATCCAAAAAGCATCTATAAACCACACTTTATCCATCACATAACTAAAAGAGCAGTGTAAGGAGATAATATTAACAAAGGTAAAGATTTTTATGTACCATAAAATGATCCTCTATAAAACAGTTTCTCGGTTCAGGGTTGTTTTTGTTTGTCTTTTGTTAATTTGTTTTTTTGTTTTCCAAGTACAAATACAGATTTGCAAATAATGAAACTCCAGTTGTCCTTGAAAGTGACACACATTAAGTGGAACAATGTCATTCAAAAGATTCTGTCAGTATTTTATGTACCCAAGGAGATATTCAGAATTAGCCTTGTACTGTACATTGTTCCCTCTCTCTCTTACTGTAGTACTTGCACCAAATACCTCAGCAGGTAAAGAGTTTCTCCTCTACCTCTCAAGATCTTTGCTTATAATGTTTTTCCAAGTGACTATAAAAGCATACCCCAGGCAATGCATCAACAAGCAACTAGCTGAGAGAAAAAGTATCCTTAAAATAAATTTTCTCTAGTGTATTGACTGTAACACTTTCAGTAAATGACTGAGATATATGAGAAATAAATTAAGGTGTTTTTAGAAAACCCAGTGGTATAAAGAAGTACACTTTGCAGGTGAATTTCGGTTTTGTATTACAGTTACCGTTTTGCTTTTACTTTATGTCAAAATAGTAAAAATATAAAGTATTCAGAATTACTTGTTTTTATAAAGTACTAATAATACTATGAGAAAATGAACAGAATAGTTTCTTGCTTCAATCTTGGTTGAAAGATTTCTGGGAAGGAGGGAAACTGAACTGGAAAACAAGTTCAACATAATTTTCATTTAAGGTACCTAATTTCATGAAGTTGGGACTAAATAACATCCCAAGATAATTTTAACCTGAATTGTGCTACAATCCTACAATTTAGATATGATTTTCCACAGACTTGAAACAGAGTTAAGACCAATCCTTTCATCTGCTGGACTGCTTCTGAATTACAATTAAATTTCTAGAAATATCCTATAAGGCTGTCATCAGAGATATTATTTAGGATTAATGGTGTATAAAATTGCAATGCTGGTTTCAGCTCTTTCCAGTCACTTTACAAGGCCAAATTAAAATCTTCATTAATATCTATGTTCTATGGATTTGGGGAGCCCTAAGACCAGAAACTCACAGTAAACCTAATGAGAAAAAGGCTGTATTTCCTTCTACTTGGTACTGATTAAGTAGATTTTGGAATATAATCTCCTGTTTTGGATGTCCAGTGGACTCCTGGGGACTTTGCGCTGCAAAGTGTAAACAGGTCAAAACAGTCACCTCTGCTAAATCCTCCTCTCACACTGCATAGATTTATAATCACATATCAATAAAGAGGAATGGTTTCTGACACACACAGCCCAATTAGTCTAAGTACTGCCTATGCCCAAACAACTTCTGAGAGGCTTCTAGATCATCCAGGTCAAAAATATCCTGGAAATTGTGCCAAAATATCAACAGTATGGGTGACCATCCACTAAAGGCTTAGGCATTAATATATTTAAACTATGAGTAAACATAAATCATGAAGAGTATTAAAACATTTTATTTATAAATTTCTAAAAATACTTCAAAAGAAGAATCTGGAGAGATAAAGATTAACCATTATAAAAACAATAGGTGCTTAAACCCAAGTCTGCATGAGAGCTGTGAGAAAGAACTAATGTCAAAGTGGGAAATTTTATTTATTGGAAAAAAAAAATTAATTGAGATAGTGAGTCAGAAGGTACGTGTGTAACAATTGTTAAAATGTGATTAAAGTCTAAAAATATAACATAGCTGCAAGGAAATAAAAAAAGAACGCCATTCATGAAAAAATGCAGGAAACAGGAGGTGGAACAGCTGGGTGAAGCTGAAATTTTTGAATATCTGTAATCAGTTACCTCCATTCTTAGTTATAACATTTGGATTTAGAGACAAATGTCTCAAAAGCCCTGCAGTGTTCGTGTGTGAAAAGTTTTCAACTGAAATTCTATTACATTTGTCAGAGAACTAGATGTGGCAGCTTCTGTTTCATAAATAGGAATAGGTGTGTTTATTTTGTGAGACCAAGGTCAAATGTTAGGGACTTCAAGGTAACTGATAGTCACTAGAACTAAATGTGTTGAAACTATGTCCATTAATTTGATCTCAGCAGACTACAATTATTGTCTATTTCTTAGACAAAAGAGGGATCTCCCTAGCAGTTTTCAGGAGAAAAAAATAGAAGCAAAGATTTGAAGGTCTCTTTCCACCAATGTGAGAACTGGATTAAGGAAGGGGACAGGGCTCAGTGCTCCCTAACATCCTTGTAGCAAATAGGGGAGATTTGGAAACAAAGACGTGAGATCTGCATCAGGGCTGTGCAAGAACAAAAACAAACAAAGAAACAAACAAAAAACCTACAACAGAACAACACTAGCCACTGGAAAAACATTTAGTGAAGTACTTTACTGTCCTTTCATTCTAACCACTTTACATATTTGTGTGAATGCTGTGATGTTCTTAGAGTTTCCAAACTTTCTACCTACTTCAGCTATTACTTAATCTTGATTTCCAGTTTAAAACTCAGCCTGTATTATCTCAGTAAAGAAAGCTTACCTTTTTTCACATCAATCAACTCATTCCTTCTTTATTTTTTCCAGTAGTCTTATGTTTGCTTGACCAAGATTTTTCACTTGATTGCTACTAGAAAAAGGCAGAAAAACTCATTGACAGAAAAACATTGCTTGGCAGGGAAGAGACGAGGTGTATGTTAAAGGTTTGATGTTGCTTGATTTAAAGATTTCTCTACCTAAGTGAATAAAACTACTGAAGTACTGAGATGCAGATCAGATCTTCACTAATCTTACATCTATGTAGTCTAAATTATGTTGAACATCTGAGTATAAATAAAATATTTAATAAGTACTCTATAACAGAAAATCAAGCATATTTCAATAATCTGTTTAAATGCCTGAACATATATAAACAATGTTATATATAAAGTTATAAATAAAAATGCATAATTTTAATTACCTCATATGAGAAAACTTGGTTTTGTCATTTTAACTACTATCATCAAAGAATAAAAGATGTTTTACCTGGAAAATTAACATGCATATTTTAAAAACTATTTTATAACTTTAATTATTCTTTAGCTACTAACAAAAGCACTATATTATATAGTGTACTATTCTACTAATAAAAGTACTATAAAGAACAAAAATATTTAAACTGAGTGGTGGAATTCTAAAATATTATTTGAATTCAGTTCTATCTTCTACAGTGAAAATATTGACAGGTACAATATAAATTTTCTGCTGTCTTATTCCCTACATGTGTAAAACACATCTAATTAATGAATGTTAATCTAAAATGAAATAAATAATATAAAATGAAAGTCAGGTATTAACAGAAGAATGAAATCATAGATTTAATAAAAGATATTTAGCATGTACCCAAGATAAATTTTGGGAATAACAAAGAAAAAGGAAATGGAACCATTTTCAAAGTCAAATGCAGAAGAAAATGGAGAAACTACAAGTGGGAAGAAGTACTCTGGAAAAAAAATTCAAAGTAAAAGTATATAAATTCCAACCATTTAGGTTTCCCTTCATATATATTTTTTTAAATTCTACCATTTGTTTATACTTGACTTTAGGGGCAGGATTTTAGATGAAGATAAGAGTAAAAAAATGCCAGGGATGATTTATAGAATAGCTGTGTATCCCAGCAATTGTTCTTCCTTTCAAATACTCTGTATTTGTAATTTTGAAATTTGTAATTTTGAACTCATAATTTGTCTGATTGCTTATACATGTAACAGTAGAATAGCTGCAGGCTAATACTGCTCCATACAGTAGTAGAGAGGAAATTTTTTAAACTATGTCTTTTCTACTTCCTCTGCAGCTGAAAGATCACACCAAGAAAATTGAAATAAAATTGCTGAACTGCCATTTTAAAATAGTAATTAAATAACACATAACATGTCCTTGAGATTATGACCAAAAGAAACATTTTTTTCAAATAGTCTTGTCTTTGAATAACCTCTATATAATATCTCATTATTTTCTCCTGGTCACAAAACTTACACTTCTAGAATTACTACAACAGTAATGTCAAAATTCAGTGTCTGATAGCTGCTTCAAACAGAAACCCCAATGGCTTTGATGACTTAAGTCAGTCCTAGTGAATATGCACCTCTTTAATATCTTTGTTGGCTTTCAGTGTAGTTTAAAATTGAGCTAATTCACAGAGATATTCTGGAGAAATTCAAGCATCACCAACTTAAAAACATCAGCTGCCAGCTGTTCACTGAATGTGTGAATATCATCTTTTTCTTGGAGCTTGTGATAGTGATCCCATGATGAAATCTGAAGCTGAAGTGTGTTCTCTATATAAATAGGACCTAGGGTGGGATGTGAGGCATGGGATATCAAGCCATATTGGATAAGATGTTTTTATAAAATAAGCAGAGGAAGAATTTTCAACTTAAAATTGTTAAAGCTGAGGATGAAAAGTTAAAGAGCCACATTCTGACTTGCAACATAACAGCCTCCCCATGAAAAAAAGCCTCTACAAATGAGGTAAAATCTGAAGGTCAAGTAATTTGTTTTTTCCCAGAGGTACACAGTATCCTAATTGGGTAAACAGAAATAAGATTTAGTTAAAAATACTTATTTCCACATGTATATTTTTTCTTGAGGTAACTTTCTTAAATAAATTAATTCAGATTAGCTTTTAAAATGCTCACATTAAGAATATCTAGATGCCAAATTATAAGGTTTCCCAGTGAACTATTGACTCAGGCTGTGAATGGCAATTGCAGGCGTGAGAGCTGTGCAATTCATCACCCATTAAAGGTCTGATAAACAATACCTTCATGTTATTACACTTAACCAGCCCTAAGGCTCTCCAAATCTGCAAAGACCATCTGACTATTTTCCAAAAGTCTGTTTTATCTAGAGGAGTGCAACAGAGTAAGTACAAGCAGGAACTGTCAATCTTGGAACTCATTGCACCCTTTTGAAAATTCAGTGTATTGCAACAATGAAAACATTGTGTATCTAGTAGTGCAATAGTCTCTCTTGAGGTCCTTAACCATTAGTTTAATGGTAATTTTTTTTTAACTCACAAATATTTGCTGTAGTGCTCAAAACGATATGTATATTGAAAAGTTAATGTTTTAATTACGGAATTTTATAGAAGATGTATACAATGTGTAGGCACTTAAATTCTGTCACAATAAAGACATATTTTATGAGTTGAATTGAAAAATATATTTCTGAAATATCACCAGAAAAAAGAGAAGTTCTTATTTCAGTCAGCTTTTCAAGAACTGAGACAACTTAGAAAGGAAGGATATCAGAAGAACCACATGGGAGAAATTTGGCACTATCTCCATCTTTGCTAGTTAGACTCTAATTTCCTTGGACCTCTCATTCTTAAGTGAAGATGCTCAATTACTCAGGTAAGCAATACATATATCTTGTCTGTAGTCCCCTAGCAGGTATGTATATCTGCTAGTTTATACTATGGCAATAAATATTACCATAATAATTAAAAGCTACCATGAAAACAGGATCTTAATGAAGTTGATTTAAAGGGGGCCTAGAGAATGTTCAGTGAGGCATCAAAAAAGCAGGAATCTGTCTCTGGGGCTGCCTTCTGGAGCATAGCATTTCACATCTTCTCCTATACAAAGTGACAGCTACTTGCCACCAAAGTAAAAAGCCTGCAGTTCTATGGTCCCTGCTTTTCAGCATTTCTCCTTGTCAAGAAAACTTTTTGCTGTGAGTTAGTATCTACAGAATAAGAAAAAAAGCCATTCTGTGATTGTAGTAAAAGACTTCCAGTGTGACCTCTGGCTGATTATTCGACCTGTCATCAGTGCTTTTCTAGGTGGCAGGTCAGAGTGGCTGATGACATAGGGCTTGGAAACTTATTTTCATGTCATTGCTCTTGTTCTTAAAACTAAGATGAGTTCAGTTTTGGTAAATCGTTTCACTTAGAGGCTTCAAGTCCGCAAAGCACTTATGCAAATGTTTAATTTTAAACATGTGAATAGTACTATTAACTGGTGGGACTACTCACATACCTAAAGCTAAGGACATGCTTAAGTGCTCCACTAATAACAGTGAAGGAGGGGGAAAAAGCACCCATGACCTCCATTTATGTTATTGCTTCATTAATTTTTTTATTTACAGTCTCTTTTATGGCATTCATCATCACAATATTGCAGCATGTCAAGAATATTAATGTTGCCATTCATTTGCCTTTGCTTGACAACTGTTATGCTTCACAAAAAAGGAAAAAGATCCTGCAGAACACCGGATGGCTTATGTAGATAATCATGACAATTTCTTAATGTAATTAGGAAGAAAGCAATTAAAATTTCACACAAATCCATCAGACCATTAAAATGATAACAACTTCAACTTTAGTGTGCTCCAAGTTTTTCAACAATCCTAATTTTCCTTTTTTATAAACAAAAAAAAAAAAACAACCCAAAACACTCCCATATGATGGAAATTCTTTCTGGAAGCGTCTCTAGTTTGTCAAAGTGAACCAAAGGAAGCTGTCATGTTTTTGAAATGTTTGCTTAGAATCTACTAATTATTGTGTGATTTATTCCTTTGCTATTCCACAGATGGTATGTTATAGGTCCCACTCTGGGCACTCTCTGGTGTTAAGTGTATGACCCATGCATCTAATTCAAGAAACTCATGTTGCTTAAAATGTTAGCAAGATTAGATAGTACTTCTTCATATGAAATGAAACCCATGCCACAATAGAATACATTTTGAAGTCTGATCTTTTGTGCTTCCTGGTTTTTTTTTTTCTATTTGCTTCTTTAGCTAACACTGTAAATGCAAATTTTAATGGCTGGCAGTTCTACAGGTTGATGAATGTGAGAACTAGAGGGTTGAATAAAAAGTAATGCCTGGTCTCTCAGGTGGAACTGCTGATTCTCTTGGGTGCTCTCCCTGAGTCTGTCCCCAATTCATTACTGACAGAAAAAATTACTTAAATCTGCTTTTTAAAAATGTTACAAACTATAATAAACAAAAATGAAGTATGACATAATTAATCACTTAGGCAGGATGATTACAATTTCCATCAAGCTAATTGAAAACTAAGTTTTACCATTATCAATTTAATACTGTATAGCAGAAATGTTTGTGATAAACTTGGATTTACAGTCTATGTTCCCTTGCAGGGATGAGGCTTAAGCTCTTGTCATTTTCTGCTGAAGGCAGCACCCAGTCAGCTAGATAGCTTCAAAAAATGGATCCTCTGTTTAGGTTTGTTGACCACTTGGTGTTGACAGACCTGTGTTGCATCTGCAGACTGGTCAGTGTTGTACCAACACCTTGCTGGAGCTCCAGCAATGTAGAGGATCAGTTGTTAGTTATCTCTGGTAATTGTCACCCCACTTATATCCTGTCAATGCTTTCTGAGCTGGAGCTGACTTACAGGCTGGACAGCACAGGCAGAACTGGCCCAATACTGTCCTGGTTTGGCCAGGACAGGGTTAATTCCTGCAGCAGCAAGGAGAGGGAGAGGCTAGGACCCGAAGGCATTTCTATACCAGCACACATCATTGCCGGGGACGGGGTGGCGTGGCTGCAGCCAGGTCAGGCTCTGTGGTGAGCATTTGCAAGTGAATCCCTCGCCTCTCTCTTGTACGCTTTTTATTAATGTTGTTGCTGTTACTGTTCATTTTCTTATCTCATTGTTGTGTCCAATAAATTGTTCTTATCTCAACCAGTGAGTTTTTGTGCCTCCAATTCTCCTGTCCAGCCCTCTGCAGGGGGAGAGGGAGTGAACAAGTGTCTTATGGTTTGGCGAGTCTCAGCGGGAGCACTAAATTGGGGTTTCCCATTCCTAAACCATGACATATGTCTACATAGGTCTGTGAGCACATGAAGCTCAAGTTTCCCAGCTCTTCCATGGAGCTAAATTTGAGTTTGAGATTCCACTACTGGAACGCATGTCAAAGTTGCAATACTAAACTTCAGTGAGCATTTGCAGATTAGTATTAAAGGGTTGGGAATTAAACAGTCACACACTGGTTTTGTTGAAGAAGCCTTAATAATTTTACTGGATAGTGACTATAATAAATCATAAGAGATTATTTTTTTAGCTGATATATATCAGTTCCACCTAGAAGTAAAAAATTCAAATATTGTTCAATTATATTGTATAATCTACTATATATAATTTAATACCATCTTATGTATTTTAACAATGTTGGCTTCAAAGAGCTTTTGCAGTATATAATGTTAAAATATATTTGCTTCCTCAAATGGTTGCTAAGGAAAAGGAGTGGGATTTTCTAATGCAGTCTACTTCTGAAGTTGTGCAGCATGAGATTTCCAGGGTGATTCTGGTGTGAAGACTAGCAAATAGAACATTTTTCATGTTACCCTATTAGAAAGTGTTATGGATTAATACAAAAGGTTAGTCTTATCACAATTTGTGAATTATAGCATGCTACATCACATTAAGAGTTGCAATGCATCAAGGGCTAATATTTTAATATCTTTTTTTCCTTAATAGAAAGACAAGAAACTAGAAGCTTTACATAATCAAGGTTAAAGGTTTCTGTAAAAGCTTAAAATGATGTTTTTCTTTTTAAATATTTAAACCTGCAATTGGAGGTGTATCCACGACATATATGTATGAACTCAAAAGCCAAAGAAAAACTGGCCATGTTCTTAAACCAGTGATTTTTATAAAATAATTTAATATGTCTCAAAATGTTTTTGTATGAAGAAAGGTTAGGAAAAAAACCTTAGAATTTGTACCAGTTCATTTTCTAGTCATCTGAGGCTGAATGTTTAAGTGCAATGTCTTGATGTAGATTTATTTTCAGGTTCAATCTCATCCAGACAGTGGACACATAACTGTCTTTCAGTAGATTCAGTCTATTAATGGCTGAATAGGCATAAAAGAATATGTGTGCTATTTCTTTTTTAAACAATTATAAACGAAGATACATTATACAAACACAAATACTTTGGCACAAGCTCTTCCATTCCCAGCATCTTCTGTTAATACTGTGATTACCACCCAGAAAGCGATTCAGTGACATCAGAGTTCTGTCATGGAGCTCTGGGACCCTACAGAAGTTACCTTATAATTTAAGTTTTTGTCATTGTTAGGACTTGCTAGACTGAACTTATTCCTTCATTTAGACTCTACCATCCTCAGCTTTTAATGTATGACATGATGACAAAAGGTGATCAGGAGTGGTCAGCATGGATTCACCAAAGGTAAATTGTGCTTGACCGTGCTCACTGCCTTCAGTGGTGTAAAAAGTACCTGGATGGATGAGGGGAGAGCAGTGGATATTTTTTATCTCCACTTCAGCAAGGCTTTTGATACTGTATATGTGTATGTGTATGTGTATGTGTATGTTTACAATGTATAAAGAACAAGATATACATTATACTGTAAGTATAGATTCAGATGAATAGTTTTATTAAAAGTAAGATTCCTTCAACAACAGAAACCTTATAAACTGTTTTCTCAGAAAACTCAGTTTCGTAACTCATTATAATGCATGCTTTTTCTATTTCAGGAGGAGGCTACTTCCAAAAAATGCCAATATTGTGACATTCTGGAATATTTTGCACAATAATACTAGTTCCTGATTATAATTTTAGCTTCACAGATATTATCTATTGCATACTAGGAGTTCAGAATGAGTAGATAACATGGTTCTTTATTTGTATACTTTGCAAAAAGTACCTGTAATACTTTATCACAGTTATTCCAAACTACTAAAGATTACCCATTCTCAGATTAAACTCATTCAAGATTTGAGCTTCTGTGCTGAAATATGTCTTGACTTATTTCTCTTTCATGTTTTTTCTCCTGTATAGACGCAAGATACCTAACATTTATTACACACAACACTTAAAAACTGCTGCATTTCCTAAAATGAGAAATAAGTGTCACTGAAATAAATTTTTTTGTTCTGGTTTTCCCTCCCAAAACCACTTTTATTATGGTATGCATAATCTACATTTCTGTTTGAGGTAATTACTATATTGTATGGAGGAATGAAATGGCACCAAATAAAGAATCTATAAGACAAAAAAAATCTATTAGGCAACTTTGTAGTACTGTACTGTCATAAATTATGTGAATTGAAACTTCATACTGAAACTTCTATATCATTTAAGTTTTATAAATCTGTGAAGAGCTGAAAGCATTTCATTGTTGCAAGAATGTAAGGTTATGCAATGTTGAGCATAGACAGTGATAGTTTAATACTAGTTATAAGCAAAGCAAGATTTGTAGGAGCATTTTATCAACTAAATTTTTTTAAAAAAAAATATAAATATAATGGCAGTAGTGATATTGAATTTCTTTCAAGGCTGTAAAACTTAATACTTTCCTGTGTTATGATCTTCCTAGTATGATCTTCTCTTCAATAGTATATCTTATTCTCAAAAAAATGCCTTTCACCTATGAAAGATAATAAGCTTTGGATGATAAATATCATTGTCAATCAAATGTATAATCTTAAATAAGAATGTCAAGTATATTTGGCAGAATTTGTTTCTCAACAGCATGGTGCCACTGACAGAAATAATATTTTCCATGTTTACTTCAGCAGAGGTATATGGATCATATCTTCCATCCTGTGACTTTGCTCAACATCCAGGACAAGTTGCCAGAGTTTTTATTTTTCCAGTATCTGTTATTGGGAACTTGTGAAGTATCTACATTCTTTTTTGTCCAGTGTCCTTGATTTCAAAGTCTGACTTTCAACCTAATGTTTCAAAACAGTGGAGACAATGGAGTATATTCTGCCTGTTGTTTTCATAGTGTCCATGCTGATCTACAGTAAAAGAAGAAAACCTGTTATGAATTGTAAGCTCATACTTGTAAGCTCTGAGTATATCCTTCATACTGGTAATAATAAAAAAAAAGAATATTCATCAAGGCTATTTACCTTTTGTGTAGTTTTAGCACTCTCCTTTACTAAAAAAAACACTAATCAGTTTTAAGCATTCTGGTGTCTCTGATGTATGCTTTGAAAGATGTCTGGTGACAATATAAATGACACTGAAATAAAAATGCTGATAAAGTCTAGATGTCTGTCCTTTATTCCAGTGGTGTGCTGTTATGTGCTGTTGCTCATCCTATTTTTTCTCTTTTCTTTGTGACTGTGATATTTTTTTCTGAATTTCAACAACAAAGACATGAAGCATGTTCAATAACATTGTATACTGACACACATTTTAAATTTAAGACCATAAATTTGTATCCAGTGACTACTATCACAGAATGTTCAAGTAGTGAAAAAGCACATTTTTCTTCTTGTACACTTTTCTTTCTGAAGGAAAAGTTTTTTGGTAATTTATGCATAAGACCACATCTTCTCATCAGAATAAGTTGCTTTAACCAGAACATGCTACTTTTCTACAAGCACATTAGCAAAGATAGTCTAAATTTATAACTACAGGGTTTGTGAGTGGTCACAAAGTTTACAGTTTCAGTAGTTAGTCAGCAAGACAATCTGTCAGGCACAAGTTACATACTTTGCATAGGAAAACACGGTACCGCTATGACACTACAGAAAGGTTACCCTTCAGCAATCATGCAGACAATTTATGGTTGCACATCAATTAAAGAAGCAATGGGAAGTGACACATGCTTGAGACCTGAATTCTATAAGTGTGATGGCATATTGCCTGCTATGGTGACCAAAGCTTGTAACTCCAGAGCATGCTGCAGTCCTTGAACTGAATTAAGTCTAACAGTGTGGGAACACCATTTGCTGTAGGCAAAGGTTGCCTTTATTCAGAAGAGGCAAGATGCTGTAATCTGTGGCTCAGAATTTTGATATCTTTAGGTGGAAAAATAGATGGGAGTGGGGACAGGAGTTTTTAACATATGAATCTGGAACATAAACCAAAGTAAGCTGCACTAAAGCTTGGCAGCTTCAAAACATGATCCTTCTCTTCCCCTTAACAACAAAGTTAATCAGAAGAAGTTAGCAAGATCATAGTACATTCTCTGTGACTGGGAATTTTGGTATGGTATACCTTAAAATAAGAATCACCATTTTGGTCTGTGTGCTGAGGCAAACATGGGCATCACAATAGTAAGCATAGAATTTATAATTTCTTATCAAGGGGCTCTTTCCAAGAACATGAAGCGGTACAGTGGCATGAAAGAATATTACAAATAGTACTGAGAATTGCAATGGATGCGACCTATTGGTAAATACAGAAAGGATGTCAAAATTTCACAGCAATACCAACATCTGAAATGTAGATGTATGGCTATAAATGTTTCTTTATTTTTCAGCTTAAAAAAACACATGTAAAACAATTTAAAAAAACATATCATACTTAAATATTCAACAGCATATAATCCCCATTAAATTACTGAGAAATGACATTTAATATGTTAAGGACAAAGTTTTGCCTGGCATTATTTTATAAGTTTTCTTCTAGTATGAAGAGCTAGAGATTATGAGAACCTACTTTTGAAGAGTTCTATCCAGAATTTTCCTTCTTAAAATAATGGGTGCAGCTAGAGAAACATTTTTTAAAAATCAATCAAATCAGGGTTCAGCAGAGCTGCACATACATAATTTTTTCACTAAAACCAGGGTAAAGAGTAAATGCCTTCTGTTCAAAATTGGTTGTCTGTCATTAACTTTTTGCAATATTAATAATAGTAATTACACTAAACTACTTGAACAAAGGAAATTAACTAGGTTGAGATTTTTGTGTGGTTTTGGTTTTTGTTTTCGTCTGGGTATAAGCCTCAGACTTAATGGAATCTTATGTCAAAGTATAGGTCTAAGCTAGTTCAGAACTGAAAACTTATCAGACATCAGTGATGTAGCAATAATTTGATTTCTGCTCCTAAAACATAATATAAACTTACAAACTAAAAATAAACCTACTGATATTGCCTGTTTTCTTTTAGTGCTAATACCCTAAAGGAAAACAGAAAGATGACAGACATAACATGAAATGTCCCTGTGAACATTTCTAACAGTGTAGTGCTAACCAATAAACAATGTTTTATTGTTGCTGAAGAGCTGATGTTTGCCAACTGCTGTTTTTGAACTAATTGCTGTGATACAGATTGTTAAACTGAAATTAGAGTTTCAGGTGTAGAACAATCTGTATTCAGATGTAGTGATGGTAAAGGAAAAAAATTGTTAGAAAAGGTATTTTACCATTCAGCAAAATTTTAGGTTTTCCTACCTTTGCCTACGAAAAATGTGATCATTATTGCTAATTTTCAAGTATTTTCTGTCTTCTAATTCCATGGAGACTTTTGGGTTTTTCAGTGTTCTGGTAGTTACTAGAAAGATTGTGAAGAGACAAATCAGGACTGACATGATATTTTTACCACCAAGAAGCAAAAAAGAGGAACAGTATTGAAAGAAAAGCTGCCTGAGACTAAAGGCCCCAGGCAGGAGGAAGATGAAATAAAGTAGCCTTAGGTAAATCCACCCTAAAACTACAAGGAGTTTTAGCATTACACCGGCACACTGCTGTCTCAGAGGAAGTAGTGGGCTTTGAAAGTGGAACTAGAAGACCCAGTCTGAGAGTTTAAATGCAATTGAACTTAAGGCCTGAGTCACTGGTTCATAGCTGTGTGAAGATGCTCTAAGCTTACATTTCTGTTCAAGGTCCAACACTCTTGCTGTACACAGGTACTGTCCTCTTACTGATTTTAACCTGAAATTGAAATAAGGGTCCAACAATCAGACAGACTGGGTTAATAAACAGTCAAATATATTTTTCTCCTTGAAGCAGGTACTTGGGTTGAACAGTGAAAGAACAACTCCTAGAAGGAGTTACAATATATCTTAGAAATAAAGACGTAGTGATTCTGTTCTGAAGCAGAAACAAAAGTAGATAACCTTTCAGACCATTAATCAAAGTGTTTACAGTTTGTCTTTCAAGGTGGTTGAAAGCATAAAAAATGCTGAACAAAGAAATTTAATCTGGTTTTGGTGCTTCCTGTCTCACCACCCTGGGGATGTTGAATAACTTTTCTTGTCCAGAGTCAGACACATAACTGTCATGTATTACACCTGCTGCTTCCTTAAAATTGCTTTCTCCCTTGAGTGTATCGAATTCCACAAGCAATGTGAATGCCAGTTTGAATTTGAGAATGTACTAGTTGTAACTTGAAAAAAAAGATACAAGGGGGAGGTGACTTAATTTTATCTCCCTGGAAATTAGAAGAAAATATGGGGGATTTGTAATTTTTTTCTTTGTTTTTTTCTTCTTTTATATTTTAATTTATTTTTTTTCCTTTCTTTTTTTTTTTTTTTTTTAATTGGAGGACAGAATGCCTCTTCAGCATGAAATTCTCCCACCCTTTAACTTTCAAAGTTCTGTTTGTCATCAGAGAAGTTATAGGTTCTGTAATTGCAACTTCTTAGCATTGTGACATACAGAGTGAACTTTATTATATGGGAGAGGTCAAGCTGTGATATTCATCTAGAAATCTTTAGCAGTACAGGACAAGTGCACCAATAATCTCTTTTAGCTAATAAAAGGGAAGGAATTGGAAGTTATAGTCTCATGCATAAGTGAGGAAAAAGAGATTACAGTAATGTGGCAAATAGTATTTTATGTTTATCTGTTTAGTACATCAGGTTTTTGCCTAGATTGCCATGCCAATATCTTTGGAGCAAAGCTGAAGTTGAATGTCACTGTTGTAGTACTCTTTGAAATATTTCAGCATTTATTTGGTTTTTGTCTGTATGTTCGCTCAGAGTTAGGCAACTAAAATATTACCTTCTTTTCCTCCTTTTTTCTTTTTTCCCTGGAAACCTGTTTTTTTATCTTATTATAAAAAAATACAAGTATTCCCCAGATTAATAATTAATATTTACTCATATTTATGAGATAATAACTGAATAGACTGCATTTTGGTGAATTCCCCTGTTTTAGATTACCCTTATTTCTTTGCTTGTGGTTTAGCACTCTTTCTTTACATAGAAACCTGATAATAAAATTATAAAAAATAAAAAAGAGTTAGACAATCCAGACTTCAAACAATCATTGGGCCTGACAGAGAAAAATGTTTAAGCCTTTGGCCTGAACTCTATTTTTAAGTGCTGTGCTGATATGGAGTCATTATAAATTAAATATTTTTCCCTTTTTCTTTTTTTTTAAGACAAGTGTGTAGATTTTAACCCAATTACTTTGGCCACAAATAAAAATCACTCAGCTTCATGATCATAAATAATGCATTTTTATACAGAGTGCAAACTCAGTAGCATTTATAATCTGCCCACAGTCTTCCTAATAAATTAGGTCAAATTAATAGTTGATGTTATGCATACTGACATGAGTGAAATTACATTAAAGATTAATTTGGCCCACTGCTTAAAATTCGGTTTTGAACCTCTAGGGTTAGACAATTTGCATTATGAAGAACTGATTCTGTATTAAGGTTACTTTTGAGTATGTATGTTCTGAAATCTGACTTATATAAAAATAAATGCCCTGATCAGTTTTGAAGAGGAGAAATTATAATAATATTGATAATAACCACTGTGAAATAATGTCTCATTTTCAAAATGACTGTCATTTCTTCTATAAAGGAACAACTTGTTGCAAACACAGTTTGAGATAGAGCCCCTAAAGAGAACTCTGAAGTATTTGTGTATGAGGGGAGAGTAGTGTTATAACCCACCCCTGATGGCAGGATAACTAAAGTTCTTTTCCAATGATAGAACTCTTTGACTGGATTAGAGTGAAGTGACCCTAAATTTATTTAAATTTAAATTTAAAAATTTATTTATAAATATATACCCATGTATATATTTATAAATATATACGTGGTGGGTTTATTTCAGAACAATTTGGTTGCCATGGAAAGGAGATAACCTGGTTTGGTTATTTATAGAAATATAGCAATATAAAAATGTAAACATAACACTTTAGGAAATGTTTAAAGAAAGAAAGTGTAAGGAAGAATAAGAGTAGAAAGATATCATCACCTGTGAATCCAGTGAGGAGACCTGCAATTGCAGTGTCTGTTTGCCAAAGTGATAGTTGCTGTCTTGATCCTTTGGGGGTGGGGGAAGCCCACAAATTATTAATTCCAATGGGTTAATATACCTAATCAGGTATATTAATTATCAGATTCAGGTGGGAGTGCCCAGGTAGGAGTGCTGTACACCATTGAAGCACTGTGAACCATGTGGTCTGGTGGAAGGCCCCAGAAATGAGTCTGGGGGTATTTTGATGGTTTATGACACCTTCTAAGACATGACAACTGTCTCATGCCATAGACGAGCCAGGTGAGCCTCAACAGAAGGGATGAACACTGTCAGGACTACATGCATATGTCCCAAAAATTCCCCTGGGTGTAGGGGAGCAGTTTCACACCTGAACCAGTTGTGTAAGGGAACTTTGTAAGGAAGGACATTGACATGATAGAAAAAGCATTATCCCACCTAGCAGGATCTGCTTCTTATCAGCTTCTTTCCCTAGCTGTCTCAAACCCCAGCTTGCTGCTAAACAGGTTGGTTTGGCAGGGTCATTCTCTGGGTCACACCTTCTGCACCTGGACAGTTCTCATGCAGATCAGAGCTTTTACTACCATACACCCTCCTTCTCTTCCTCTCCCTCAATTCAGGGTACAAACCTCACCAAAGACCTCTGATGCTTTTGCCAATGGCCAATTGTTTGAGTCATTAACTCTTAACATTTCAGTCTCTCACAGGTAGTGAATATAACCCACCTTGATATTAGCATGATCCATGAAAGCATCTTTGTATCTAAGCCATGTTGTCATGGTCTAGCTTGGTGAATTATTAGAACTAAGCTTCTACAGTAGCTGGACTGGGAACTGACTAACTTGGGAGCAGGCTTACTGAAAAGTTCCTGGGTATCCCAATGAACAGCAAATTGAACATAAGTGAGCACTGCATCCTGCCAGGAATGAAGTCTAACGGCACACTGTGTTAAAAATACTGCTGGTGTATGAAGGAAGTGATCACTCATCTAATAAACAGAGAAAATATGCAGAATAATGCCCCCAGTTTTGCCCTTTCCAGTACATGAAGGACATCTAAAAATGGAAGTGAGCTCAGAGGATGGCCATCAAGGGCTGGAGCACTTGCCTCATGAGGAGAGGCTGAGAAGCTGGGGGAGTCAGGCTTGTTCAGCCTGGAAGTTATTTGGCTGACTAGAAGTGGAGTACATGAATCAGAACACCATATGAAGGCAGGCTGAGACATCTGCATAGCTAATATAAATAGGATTTATAGAAACCTATGCCCATCTGGAGCAGCAGGTAGAGGCCAGGCAGGATCTGATGAATAAGACAGATCTAGAAGACTACATTTGAGCAACTGTTTACTAAAAGTGACTAGTAAGAAGTAATAGGACCCCTAATAACTAAGTGAACATAAGTGAAGTACTTAGTACCTTAGTAAGGTACTAAGTGAACATAAAAGTAGCAAGGATGAGATAAGGTCAATTGGTAGGCTGTGAAGCCAAGTTTCAAATATAACTTTTTGTCATACAGCTGATTTTCATTATACAACAGATTTCCTACTGTGACATTTTCTTCAATGTGCCATAAGTATCTTTAAGGGACATTGGGCACATGTAGAGAATATGAGATCTTGGCTAACAAATGTAAAAAAAATAACAAACTAATAATTTATAAATCACATTACCTATGGACTAGATTTTTCCTGCTCTTTCACGTCTTTGAAAAATCTGTATAAAATTTATAAACACAATTTTACTCTGAAAACAAGAACATTTTTTTTTTGTCAGAGAAAATAGCACATGTGAAATTAAATATCAAAAGTTAAAACATCCATACTAATGTCCCGATTACATTTTTGCTTACAGGTCAATATTGACTACAATTCAAAGGAAAGGCAAAGGTGGTGTTGCTATATTCATTGAAAAAATACTTTGTAAAACACGCTAATTCTTCCAGTTTAAGGAAAAAAATTGAGAAACCAAAGTATGGCATTGTTTCTCTTTTCTCAGAACAAATAGTGATGCAGAAGTTGATGGTTTCTTTAAGAGTCCTGAATTTAGTTTTCTAGAGTTGTAGTTGTATATAAAGTTTCTCACCTCTCCAAAATATCTTTCACCTCTTTTTTGTTGATCTTCTTAGACAATTTAGAATTTCTGATATCATTAAAATTCTATTGCTTCTTGCTAGCTCTTAGGTTTACCAACTGTCAGTCTGGTATAATAGATCTTGTTAGAAAAGTTGCCATTCAAGAAATTTATTTAAGGACACATTATATTAATTTTGAAAATTATGTTCTTTTTCAGTGATTTCATTGTAGTAGTTAAATCTTGTAGGAAAAAGTGTAATCTCCTAAAAACTTCCGTTGATCCCTGCACAAAAGTGTATCATTACTTTATCATAATGTTGGCAAAATATTTAGATATCAGGAAATGGTGCTGTGAATTTTAGCTGATGTAAAAGAATACTATAATTTATAATAGAAATTCATGCAGCAGTTTCAGTAAGATGTTACATTTTGAGTGCTATTTATTTTGGAAAGCAAAACTGGAATTCTAAATGTGTTATTGAGCTTTAATAAATTTTTGAGAAATATTTACAGATAAAAATAATTTCAGAAAATTAGAAATAAACTCATTACAATACCTATGGTATTTAAAATTTTATTTTGATTCAGTTTAGGTATTTGTTTCTTAAAATAAAATAGGAAAAAAAT